GATCTTCCGGTGCCTCATTCACTCAATATACCCAGGAGACCACCCACCACTTCCTTTAAAAAAAAAAAAAACCAACAGGATTTGTCTCTTTTGCCATACAGTAGGCAGTTGTGTCTAACACAGAGTATATGCTAAATAAACTACTATAAAGGTTAAGCAGTTGACTTCAATTTGGCTAAGATCATGATGGCAGTTTTTTCGAATCTCCCAAATTTCCTAAGAAAACAAAGCAAGTGAGATAGCATAGGAAAACATATCCATGGACATAGTCTTGAATAAAACTAACTGACAACGTATTCCAAAATAAACGCCAAACTATTGACAATATCAACACCCACTCAAGACCCTAGCTTGGGGAGGTTGTAGAGGGAAGGCATGCAGGGAAATTCTGGCTGATCCAAGAATTTCATAGCACCAAAACTACTAACAAATACTAGCAAAACACTTAGTGGGAGCCTCAGAAAATGAACCTGACAATAAATGGCAACATTCTTAGAAATGTAACACAGCAGTCTATCAATGGCAGGTGAACGCAAAATAAAAGAACAAAACAAAAATAAGCAACAAAAGCAAAATGCCCACCAAGGGGCTGCAGAAAGATCAGAGGTAACAGAACATCCTAATCTCCCAAGTGGACCTGATTAAAAATGCTTTTCTGGTAGACCAGAACCCAAAGCTAAAGAAAAACTCTTGGAGTAGAATCCAAATTGGCTAGGGCAGGGGCATGAGGGACAAAAGAGAGCAAGGATTAGATAAGCGGACCAGCAGTCCAGAGGAGGCAGAGCTCAGACCTGGGACGGTTGCTATACAGAGAAGCTACATATTTTACACGTCCTGGTAACAACAGGGGAAGGAGCCCTCAAACCGATAATGTATGGAAGCTACTCTACCATTAAGCAGGAGAAACTCCCATTTGAAATGAGCAATAGCAAGAAAGATAACAGAACAAAAGGATTATGATCAAGTCCTAATGAATACATTATAATCATACTTCTGATTATATATATTACAATATATATGATCAAGTCCATATAAATATATAAATGAACCAAATAATGTATAAAAATATGACACACAAAGAATAAACATACAAAGCAGATAAAAACTGTAGTAGAATATAACAAAGTGATCAAAAGAAATTAAGAAAAATAGATACTACAAAAGTACTACAAAACTGGAAACAGGGAAGTACAGAAATGATGTCTAAATAGTAGGAGACTGTGAAAAAAGACAGAAAGTGTTCAGGAAAAAAATCAGAATTAGAAAGAAATGGAAAAAAAATCATTTTAGAAAGAGAAGTAAACTCAAAGGAACACAAGATAGAATAGACAGCATGGGGAGTACAATAGGGAAACAGAATATAGAGAAGATAAAAATGGGGGGAAAAAAGAAAAGGAAAAACACACATAAAGAAAATGATAGAAATAAATGACCAAAACATAATCTGGGGTAACTGGAAAATAAGAGAAACCCTGAAGACAGAATGGAATAAAATAAATATCCTGTGATGTACCTATGCCCTTAACAGTCAACAGAAGACACATTCTCACAGATCTACTGAGTTCACTAATAAAAGGGAAGACTCAGTATTTAAGAGAAAGATCAAATCACAAAGAAGGAAAAAACATTCTCACAGCCACATTTATACCAGAAGCAATGAAGTAACATATTTAAGAATCTCAAGAAATGAAAATGTGAAACACCTTCAAACATCTAGAAATAGACCAAAAGGAGTAAACCAAATAAAGCAAAAAAAAAAAAAAAAAAGTTAAAAGCATAAATTACTGAGTTAGAATGAATGAATAAGCTAGTTCTTTTTTTTTTTTTTGAATAAGCTAGTTCTTTTTAAAAATCAACAAGGTAAGTAAACCAATTGGCTAATATAAAACAAAACGAGGGGCGCCTGGGGGGCTCAGTCAGTTAAGGGTCTGCCTTCGGCTCAGGTCATGATCCCAGGGTCCTGGGATTGAGCTTGTCCCTCTCCCTCTGCCCCATCACCCCTCACCCCCCCACTCATGTTCTCTCTCTCAAATAAATGAATACAATCTTAAAAAAGATAAAACAAAATGAAACAAAACAAAATAAACAATACTATCCAACCCAACCAAAAGAAACTCTAACAAAAAATTCAAAATTCAGAGGAAATATAAATCAAACAGAGAAAATGAAAATTGTTGCATGCAATCTTCTGTTAATAAATTAAACAAACTAAATAGTGGATAATTTCCTAAGAAAGTATACTTCACCAAACAGATCCCATTAACCAAGCAAGTCTGAACAGAACAATTTCCATAGAAGAAAGAGAAATAGGAGTCCCACCAAAAAAAAGCACTAGGACCAGATGGTTTCATAGGAGATTTGTACCAAACTTACAAAGTTAAAACAATTTAAAGATTATTCAGACTATTTTAAAGCACAGGAGTGTACACACATACATGGAAAATCTAATATCAAAACCTGACAAAGATTAGACAAAATTAAAATGAGGAAAATAGTAACAAATATCATCAAAAAGCATATTAAACCAGAATAAAACTGTGTCATGACCCCACTCAGTTTTTTCTAGGAATGTAAGGATGGTTCAATATTAGGAAATTTACCCTATTACAAGAGCTAAAAAGAAAAATAATCATTCAACAAAATTTAAAAGCTATTCATGATATTACAGTCAAAAATTGGAATTACATGTTTGTTCTCTTAACCTGATAAAATATACATACTTCAAACCCTAATCCTTCAAATTATTTAATGAGGAAACATGAGAGATGTTCTAAATAAGCCTGGGGTTAAAAAAAGATGTTCACTGCCTCTAATACTATTTAAAATTGAGCTGACCCAATTAAATAAGTGAAAGCAACTAGAGACATCCGAATTGGAAATAAAAAGACAAATCTGTATTTTTATATACTATGATGATATGGAAATACCAAAAGAATTAATGGAAAAACTACTATAAAAAATATATGAAATTAGTAAATTTAGTAAAGTGGCAGGAAATAATATTAACATAAAAAATCAACAGCCTTCATTTAAAGAATAACAGCAAGTTAGAATACTTAGTAGAAGATAAGACCCCATAGTGATAGCAAAAAGATGAAATAACATACCAAAGCATAAATATAACAAAAAATGTGCAAAATGCATATAAGGAGAAGTATAAAACACTCCTGGAAGATGCAAGAGTGGACTTGACAGAATGGAAAGACAGTCTATGATTTGGAATAGGAAGAAGTGTGTGTAGCCTGAATAACCATGAGCAAAGATAATCATAAAAGGGGAAAAGGAAATGTAATTTACATCACAAAGGACTAATATTACCAACAGAAAGAGTACCCAAAACTTGAGTGAAAAATAACAACTTGAAGATGGCCTTTGTATACAATCAGGCTCAACCTCACTTTCAAAAGGAAAATTCAAACTAAAACTTCGAGTTATCATTTCTCACCCATCAGACTGGCAAATATCCAAAAGTTTTACAAACTGTTTTGTGGCAACCACTTGGGGAAAGAGGCACCTGTGTACATTGCTGGTCAAAGTCAAAATGGTTCAGGGAATATGGGATATATAGAAACTAAAAATGGAACCACCAGGAAGTAATTAGCCATATCTAGAATGTAGAATGTTCTACAAGACTCATTTTCCCAATGGATCGATGACAAGAATTTTTTTTTTTTTTTTTGCAGGATATGTGGGGTTGAGATTTAAGGCATAGAGAGACTTAAATGAGATTTTAAAATATAACAAATATACTTTGTGAAGCTTGTTTGAGTCGTGATTCAAAGAAGCTAACTTATTATAAAAGGAAATGTTTGAGACAACTGGGGAAATACGTCTATGACTTGGGTACTGGCATACATTAAGAAACTGTTAATTTTGCTAGATGCAATAATGGCATGATGGTTATGTTAAAAAGAAAGTGTCTCAGTCAGTAATGCATAAGGAGTTACTTCTGAAATGACCTGATTTCTCAGACTTGCTTTAAAATGAAAAGAACTGGCCAAATATTGATAACTGTTGATACTGAGTTATAGGGATTCATGACAACTATAATCTCTACTTTTGTGTAAACTTAAAATTTTCCATAATAAAAAGGTTTTCAAAAGGTTAAAAATGAAAAAGAGTAATGCACTGACTGTGACCCCTCTCTTTTAATAATACAAAATGAATTATGTATAAAGAGATGCACTGACCCATAAGTAATTTCATGTTATGCATCATCTCATTAGATTCTTAAAATCCTAGTATAAAATAAGGCCCTTTTCCACCAAAATTATGTAACTGGAGATGCTGATACAGCCAGTAAAGGAAAGAGCTAGGATTTGAGCCTAATCTGTCATTTGCAGACCCTTATGTCCCTTCAACTCCCTAAATAGCATAATTTCAAATATTTCAGAGAGACAGCATCATCTACCTATTTTTATCCTCTGTGTGAAGGTTAGTAATATATAGAAGGAATATCCTCTGACAGAACTTTTCTTTCTTTGCTTTTTCGTTCTTTTCCTTTTTCTTTTATTTATTTCTTGTCTCCCAATGGTGCCATTTGCTTTTCTTATACTCCTGCTTTCCACCTCATGCCCTTTCTTTTCACCCCTTATATCTTTAGAACATTTCAGGTTAATAACATCCTGAATATCGTCACATTGTAACTTTATCATGTAACATTTATTGGGCATCCCACAAATCCACAGGTGCCACGCTTGGGCTAGTCACTGTGCCAGGCCATGGGTTCACCCATAGGTGGCATAATCGACCCTATTCTGGCCATGAAGCCTGTAGTCTGAATATCTCTCTCCTTCCTGGATATCCCAAGGCTTTGTGTCTTACACAATTTATTTCACTTTTTAAATGTTCTTAGGCATCATATTTTCACCAATCTCTGGAGTTAGGCCCTATTTTTAAAAGCTTCAGTATGGATAAAGAGATGTTTTGTTTGATTGAAATTAATCTGAAAATACTATTAAACTTAGATGTTCAAGCCATTTTGGTTCTAGAACACTCACCTTGACAATACCCCGGATGTGCATTTTTGCTATCATCTCTGCTGTGTAGAGAAACATCAGCAAAGTATCCAGAGTAAACGTCACGTACTGAAGAGGAGGGTAGTGTTCGAAGGTCATGGGCGTGTTCATACAGACGGAAATGACGCTGATGATGGCACAGATGCGCAGCAAAGAGTGGACCCACTGCAAAATTGGTCCAAAGTTATCATTTGACGCCATAAAATGAGATCTTAAACTTGTGTTATAAACCACACTATTTGGAAAATATGACCTCGAAATTAAAATATCTCACCCACATAGAGGAGAGTAGGAAACTCATGTCTGTTAAGTGCATATAATGTGCTAAATATTTGCACATATTTTATATCATTTAATTCTGAAAGCAGCCTAATTTCCACATGCTGAAAGGAAGGAAAGGTTAAGAGACTTTTCTGTGCTCCTGCAGTTAATGAGAGCCAACCGCTCACTGTGAACCTGGGCAGGCTACTTCAATGGCTCTGACCTTTCCAAGGAATCGGGCCACAACATAAGGAGATTCCGATCCCATTAAAACATGGATCAATACCTCACTTTTATACTTTTTATATACTATGAGCACCTAGAATTGGAGACTTATATTTTACTTAACGCAACGTCCCTGGTAGCTAGCACAGTGGCCTATCCTCCTGGATTGCCAATGTTTTTAAAAATGACTTGATACATAGCACTTCGTATGTGTCCGATTTTCTTTCCATTTGTATCTTAAATGTAACATTCTCATATAAAAAGATACATTTCAAAATCTGACATCCTACATTTTCAAAAGATAATAAATGGACTTTCCTCTCTATTTTAGAGAACATCCTGTACAAATTTAGCCTTGGTAGCTTTTCCAAAATTCCAAAAAGTAAGTTTCTGCAATTCTAGGAATGCACATGCTGTTTGAAGATTTTCCTCAACTTCAACATGAAGATGTAGAAATAAAAAGATAAACATGTATACGCACGTGTGTGCACATACACGTGTGTGCATAAACAGGATCACCTACATATAAAATTTTATTATAAAAACTAACACCTAAGCTAAAAAATATTCATTGCTTCTGAATGCTATGAATGCTACCCCCCCCCAATTAATATTACTAGCTACTTAATCAGTACACAATTCTTAAACATAATTTAAATGTGTTATTTATTGACAATGTTGGATATATCTGCAGTCATGTTAATCATTTAATATTATACTCCCCCCCTGAAAAATATGTCACAGTTTCATGGTAGATATCTTCTCAGCTCTGCAAACTAGCAAGCACCCATGATGAAAAATCGAAAAGACTGTCAGAACTGTGAGGAGACTCAGACATTTGTAGGCTGGTGAGTGGGTTATAATATTAATCTGACAGTTATGATGTTTGCATGAAGACATAAGGCCATTAATTCTATATCATATAAGTCACTGATGACTCAATTCATTTTAAGATGTCCTTTTCATGCAATTTGGATACCCTTCAATAAATACCGGTGTGCAAATTTAGCCCCATCTGGATCTCCAACACAAAGGATCTAATTACACAAAAGAGCTTCAAAAGATGGGTTCTTCCACAATAAATCTATTTTGAATTTAAAGAAAGAATCCTAATTAAGCATTAATCATTTTTAGTTAGTGCTTCCAAGGCTACATCTATAATGCTACCTTCCTCAGAGGTTCTCAGAAAGCCTTATATGTGAAGGACACTAAGAAGTTAGTGAATGCTTTATTCTCCATCCTGTTCAATTCTCTAATCATGAATGGCAGACCTTCTATGCGTAAGAAATTCTGTGGGGCTCTGGGGCCACAAAAATGTTAAACGCGTTTCTAACTCACCACTATTTAGCAGTCTCGTATGCATAACATACATTTATATTTACAGGCAATATACATTTTTACTTACATACAATTGTAAAATAGGATAAATGGAAAGAGAAGAGGTTTGTTCTGTGTGTGGCGGAGAGGGTCAAATGAGGAACTGTTCAGAGGCCAACAGGGGTGGGCTGACATCTGAGCCAGCCTTTAATGGGTCAGGAGGACTTGACTCATCAGAGGCTGGGAAAGGCCTCCGGGCAGGGAAGCAATGTGAACTGGCTGGACATTTCGGAGGAGCAGGAAGACGCCAACGAGGCTCAAGTGGCCAGTGTGCAGATCCAGGAAAGAACAGTTGCCGGGCAGTTAGAGCCAGAATAGAAAAAGTCCTCCTTGTACAACTAACACATTTTAATTTGGAATGTAGGTGAGGGAGATATTTCAGTGACTATAAAGCAGAAGGGCAACGTGAACAGAAATGGAAATGCAGGAGGAAATCCGAGCATGCTGGACATGGAGTTTGGAGGGCAGATGAGACGGGGAATACTGGAAAGGGGCAGGGAGCCCGGGCAGATGACCTCTATCCCGGTCAAAGGAAAGATAATCAGCTCGAGGGGAACAGTTCATTCCCTCGCTTAAGCCTCGGCTGTGAGTTCGTACGGAAGGAGAGCCTACTCTCCGTGGTTGGGCTGAGCTTCCGAGAGCCGTGAACATGCTGTTCCACCCTCTGGCTGCTACACGATCTACTCCAATGTTCCCCTCAAGGTCTCATCAGCTTCATTAGGCAGAGAAGGTGATGGAATTCTTCAGAGACACCACCCACTATCTCATTAACCTTTACTTTTACTCAACACTTGCAACTCTGAAGGCGACCTTTTAATTCCAAACATTTGATGATCACCTCACGCATTCATGCATGCTGAGAACTCTACAGTCAAGGAAGTATGATAGAAGAGATTACTCATCTGGGACTCCAGCTTTGGCTCAGACTGAGAAGGGGCACTATCGCTGCATGGCGTGACTCTGAGGACAGCTTGCACAGGGGGGGAAAAGTGGGAGCAGACCACCTAGCAGACCTTCCTATGTGAATAACTCCCCGTGACATCGCTTTATTTCATCTGAATTATTCTCCACTTCCAGACTCTGAGACTCATCCATATTCTACTGCACCTCAAACAGTCATTTCAAAGCCAAAGGTACGTGATTTTTGAATTATATGAATCAAATTTCCTTTGTATCAGCATGCGCTTCTCCCTCCTTCAAAAAAGAAACTTACTGGCTTGTTAATCCAGAGTATGTCAGCGTTGTCTGACAGAGATTCATCGGGACCAAAGTCAGTAACCGGCTGGGCCTCCACCCTGGAGCTCTGCTTCCTTTTGAGCATGCTGAAGTTAGCTTTGGTGAGCAAGTACAAAACTGCAGTCTGCAAGAAGAAAGACAGTTCTGTTAGTCACCTAAACCATCTTTACCCTGATCCCTTCAACAACGGAGTCCCCCGTGTATGCATATGCATTCGTTAATTAGACACATGTTCTACTGTATGGTATATAATAAACGCATCCAAAAAGAAACTTTAAAAGAGTAAGATAAAAATACTAATCCAAGCTTGAGGTTGGTTTTTTTTTTAGATCATCTTGTGCACTTCATATACAGTCTGCATGCCCGTTTGGAGAGCACTAGTCTAGATTAACTGGGGTAGAATGCCTTTGCCTTTTCAGATACACATAGTAGTAGGACGTTTTTTGAGGCCTAGAGCTGTCTCCACCTAAAGCTGGTCTGTGCCAGAGCACAGGTGACCAATCCACATGAAATAGATCTTTCCCAGGATTTCCCCTGGGTTAATTTAATGTGACACTCACAAACGTCTATTTCCAATGATAGTTTCAAACGGAGTTCCCAATTTTGTCCTTGACATAGAGGACGTGGGGCAGACAGAATGGGGCAGAACCTCCTCTAAGTGTTTGTTTGTTTTTTTTTTTTTTATGAATGCTGGAACTGCATCAGTTCTTCCAGTTACCTTGAAGTAAATCCAAATCACACCGAAGAGGGAGATGAGATAACCGCTTGCCATGTACATACATTTCCACAATTCCGATCATCCACATCTTGCTCTAAGTGTCACCTCTGTCTGGCCATTGCTACCACCTCCCACAGTGCAGCAGCCACAGAAGGAGGGCCTATTGTATGCCAGGCCCTCAGGACACAAATAGCAAACAAGTGCAATAGAACAGAGAAGAGACACAAAGGTAGGCGGTGCCTGGCTACCCTGAGTCCACAGGCAGACTTATTTGATGAACACCTGGACTGAGTCGCAAAGGAAAGGAGCAAAGCTAGTGTTTTTTGGGGGGGTATATACTATGTTTTGGACACTTAGCAATGATATCTCACTTAATCTTTACAACGGACACTAGACAGGAAAACATCTCGTCTTTTCACGCCCGCATGAGAAATTCCAGCCTCGGGGTGGTTAATAACTCGACCAAGGCTACCCACCCAAACTTGAAATGCAGAAGAAGCTCCCTCGACTACAGAGCCTAAGCGTGTGTAGTGGACCAAACTGATGCTGAGGACTGATCAGAATAGCGCAAGGCCAGTAAAGGGAGAGGAAAGGTCCAGGCTGCGCATAGCGGTGGAAATGCCGAGTCAGGAAAATGCAGTGGTTTTACCACCAGGAGGTGCGCTGGCTGTCCTCTCAGCTGCTCCTTGGGGCTAGACGCGGAACTCTAACCAAAGGACACTGAGGACCACTCAGTTCTCGCAGGAGCACGAGAAAAACAAGAATGTGTCTGCAGGATCTGTAAATAAATGCAGTTGCAATTTTCACTGGGAAAGAGAACAAACCACAGCAGCTCAGGACAGATCAGCTTTGACTTTGATTCTCTATGTCTGAGTGCCTTCCTCTATGTCCGGGCTCTCCTTGATGTGCCCAGGTAGGTATGTTTGCCCAGCCCTCCTATTCCCAGAAGAAATCGAGCTAATTGGCTTTAAGATGTGCTAGGTATTTCCAGGCTATCTTGCCCTGAATATCGGATTTGAATATGGGCTTTGCAGTAGGCTGCACTAATTAATTTTATTTTACATAATTGGAGTTAGGGACTCTTGACATCGATATGTAAATATATGCAGAATATTCAAATTATGCTTATTCTCTGATTTACTATGGAGGGAAACATCTGGTGGCCTCAATCTGGGATGCTTTTTCAATGACAGTCTCCTATGTACCCAAAAACAGGATACAGAATCTTTTAGAAACCCTTCAAGATTACCCAACACAAAGGAAATAAAGTGTGGTTGTACAAGGTTGTTTAAAAATGACACAAGAAAATTTTATAGACCTGGCCACCAGCCATAATACCTTTTTCACTAAGCCAGTGGATACTTATGAATGACCATTTACTGCTCTTATGATCTGGCCGGAAGTTACAGTCCGAAAAATTTTTGATGTATGAATGTGATACCTTCATATATGAATTCCATGCACCTTTTATTATAAATATCCCATCTGAAGCAAAGCCGATTTTTGATTACGGATTTGTTTATCTAAAGAAGTAGACACCCAGAATTATTTTTTTTTTAATCTCTATGCTAGCAATTTTTTACCCAACAAAACCGTGCATGATGAATGATATTGTCATACACTTTCACCCTAATCTTACCTACTGCAAAAATGCCACCAAATTAAAGTGCCCAAGAAAACCATCTGTTCAGACTCCCATGGAACCTGGTTAATCCACATATACATTAAAACTCACTAGCTCCTGAATCACTGAAATCTTGACTGATTTTATAATACCAAATATTATGTAAAGCAACCAAGTAGTAAAATAAAGGCAAACTACAAACATATGAAGTGTTCAAAATTAATTTGAGGCAGTTGATTACAAAAATTTTCCTTTCTACACAGAAATATGATTTTACATTCATTCAAGTTGAATCAATATAACTAAGTCCAGCAAACCTATTATTCCCCTGATAAAGACCAGCAGGGATATTTAAGTATCCTAGGTAAGCTGATTATTTTGATATGAAATTGCTTCTGTGTATCTTAGCCTTATCACTATGATGTATTTATAACCCAATATTTTTTTTTTCTGTTTACAGAAGTGTCCTTCATAAGGCAGTGCACTAAATTTAAAAAGCAAGGCTTCCAGTAGCTTTTTCAGCCTTATTAAAAGTAGTTGGTATTTAAATAGTTCAATAGTGGGGAAAGGCTGCATGGTTACAATACATTCACTGATTAATCTTTTGCCTGGAAACAGCTAAAGGCAACTCCAAGAGAAAAGATATTTTGGTTCATTGCTCCCTTTTAAATGGTTAAAATCCAGTTTCGCATCCTGTGATAACTTTTTACTTCCATCGGCATACTCTTTCCTTAGAACATTCCAGTTCTTTCTTGACCAACTGCAGTGAAGAGATTCCGTTTTCTGTCACTGTGAAGTGCTTGCAACACTGTGGGTCATCTCTTCTCCTTGTAGCTCCCTTGGGCTTGCATGAAACTCTTTTGAAACTTCCATCTTCTAAATGATGGTTTACAGCATGTCCTTTACTTGTTGCTCCCCCTGTCTGCCCTCTGTACTTAACGCCTTAAACGAGCATCTGCTCTTAGAGTCTCCATCACCATCTGTTGCTGTCTGGCTCCCGAGTCGTGCATCGACGCTGCTGCTTTGCCCTCAGATGCAGGCCGTACCGACACCATCACCACCTGAAACTCAACAGGGCAGGTGGATATCAGTTCGGCATTACCCTCCCCCTTTCCTCTCAACTCCCAGATCCTACTGCTCTGAGCTCTTCGGGTCCTCACGGGCAGCTCCTCACACGTGCAGAAGGGCATGTCCTCATGTGCAGGTCCTCACATGTGCAGAAGATTCTCTGTGCTGATGTGCACGGCCCCTTTGGCTTTAGCCCCGTTCTTGCTGGGCCACGGATTCAGGTCAGGACTGCCACAAACATCAAGCTTTCTGATATGTCCCGTCCTGTATATCAGACACCAACTCCCCAAAACACTGACCTGGTCTCTCCCGGAACCCAGAAAAGCTCTCAGCCTATCCCCTTGGTTCTTGTTCATTAGTTCATTCATTCATTCACACGAGGAAGACTGCACACCCGCTTCGGTATCAGGCACTGTGACATGCGCTGGATTCCCAGCAGGGAACAGCAAAGGCATTCGGAGCTCGCAGCCCGCCTGCCTTCTTGAGCTTCACGTTGTAAGGACACTCGGCCCCGCTCGGTTTTACCTGCACTTGCGCTCACGCTCATAACCCACACGCTCCACTTGACCTGGCTAAGTGTCCCATCACCCCACCTACGATCTTTCTCAGCGACTTCAACTTTACTCCAGCTGTGTCCTCTTCCCGGTCTGCTGCCAATCCCGCATCAGTCCTTTGTACTCCCGAACTGAACCCATGCAGGGTTTTTAAAAGGAAACTAAGGAAACAAGATGTGCAATACCATCCCTTGGACTTCTCACCTCCAGCTTTACTGTTAGGTCTTTGGAAGGGCAGCCTTCATGGCTAGCAGAAGTTTCTCATTCATTCATGCTTGCATAAAATGCATTCAAAAAAAAAAAAAAAAAAGGATCCCAACCATTGTGTGAGGTGACAGGAATTTAGCACTAACAAAACATACTTGGTCTCTTTCCTCCAAGGATTCCAATGCTCTGTGCTCCTGACAGAGGCAAACAACATTTTTAATTAACGACAGAGCAACTGATGCATTAAAGGAGAGCCTCTCACTACTGCACACTCATTCTTCAACTTCCACCTAATGGTATTCTTATTTTTTTCACTATCTTATTGCTAGCTCTGCACTACCTCCCTGGGCAAGGAGTATTTATTGAACGACTGATTCCCAACATGCACCTGTATCTGCGCTGTCAGCCATGATAAGCATCATGCGACAAGCCAGGACAGCTGAATACTCCCTTCCTGGACCTCAAATACCTACATCTTAAGTTAAATGAAGAGAAAATAATTTTATTTTTTAATTTTCATTACACTAACAATGCAGGATAATTAGAAAAAATATAAAGACAAAATGAGGAACAAGGTGAAAACCGTCAGGAACTCCACTTCTAGAGACTCTATTGTTTTTGCAAAGTATTTGTTGTGTGAGTACATTGTGCCCATCCCGGGGCAAAGCACTGCAGACGGAGCAATAATCAAATATATTCCCTCTCGTCCTTTAGCTGGGGCACTTATTCTCCAATGGCATATGGGTTGTATATCTACTATCTTCTTCCCCATATATATTTTTCCATGCATATATTTATGTTTAAATGACTGCTTAAACACTGTCTTGTAACCAGCTGTTTTTTTTTCAGTATCTTGTGAACATCTTTCTCTGTCAATAAATATGCATGCACAGAAAATCCTAACTGTAAATAAA